CATACAGACATACATACAGACATACATTCATACTGGCATACATACATTTATACAGACACTGAAATCCATACATACACACATTCATAATGAAATACAGACATACATTCATACTGGCATACATACCTTCATACAGACAGACAGACATTCATACACACATAATGACATGCATACAGACATACATACAGACAGACATATATTCATACTGGCATACATACATTCATACAGACACTGACATCCATACATACATACATTCATAATGACATACAGACATACATTCATACTGGCATACATACATTCATACAGACAGACAGTCAGACATTCATACACACATAATGACATGCATACAGACATACAGACATCCATTCCTGCAGACATACATACATAATGACATACATACATACACACAGACATAGACATACATACAGATATACATACATACAGACATACATTCACAAACACATACACACACAGCTCATTTTCCAGCCACCTTCCTGTCTCTTACCTTGTCTTTGCAGGAGGGTGGCTGGGGCTGATGGGACTGGGAGTAGGCTGGCTCTCCCTCTTCATTGCCGGGCGCGTACTCCTCCCATGCGGAGTGAGCTGGGAGGAAGTGACCACTTCCTCCCAGCAGCACTTGCGCTGCGGCTGTATTTTTTTTTTTAAAGGGGCCTGGTCGCGCTATACCACGGCCACAGCGCTGACCAGGCCCCTGAAGATATGGGGCCCATCGGGTGACCCTAAGTGCCTGGGCCACCCGATGGGCCCCATCAGCGCGCGGGCCCCGGTGGAACCGTTATGATTGTGACCCCCTGATGGCGGCCCTGGTGTCAGTCACAGTCAGGGGAGGTCTGACTAGGGCTACATGAACAGAAACAAAAGTGATGTAACTCCTAAATAGCAGTGAATTGATCAGTGAAACTTCAGAGGCATGATCTATAAAACAAAAAAGTGCTTAATTAAGCTAAAGTTGTTTTGGTGGCTATAGTGTCCCTTTAACCTAAAGCAATGCATTGGATACACCATATATTACAGAAATACATGATGTATTCAAAGTAAAATAAAAATATATATTATACCAAACTCTTTTGTAAGACCCAGCTCTGGTCCACAATGTGCTTTTCTTTGATTTGTCCTGTTTGGGGATGCTGCCGCAAGTAGGACAAATGTTCTCATTGACACTAACACTCTTGCTTCATTGCCAGCAGTGACATCATTCCTTTCCAATAGTCTATAGCCAGTTCTAGCAGCTTTGGCCAGGGAGTTACCATAGCAGCCACAGCACACGCACTATGGTTACTATGTTTGGAGAAGGTCCACCCGTGGGAGGTCTCTTCTGGTCTCCCATGTCAGTCAATTCTTCGGGATAGAGTCTGCATTCTTTTTAATTTAATTACATTTTTCCATGTTCAAAGGCATTTCACATGATAATGTATATGTACATTAAACAATACTTCATAAAGCAAGATACTGTGCAAGAATTATTACAAAGAATACTTTATACCAGGGTTTCCCAAAGTGTGGGTTGCGACATGCTGACCCACGCCTCCTTGACCTAAGAGACTGTCAGACAGACTGATTAGTCCGTGACCGTGGGCTCGACACCAGGGGGGGCCCGGGGGCTTGCCCTGTATCCTGCCGGGCTTCCTTCAATCAGACTGCCCAGCACCTCCGGTCTGCAGCTCCGCCGGGTGCAGAGCTGCAGACTGTGTGATAGAAGTCTCGAGAGCACCCAGAGTCTTACCACAGCAACACTGTAACCCCTTCTCTCCCTGCCTCCACACACTGTAACACCTTCTCTTCCTGCCCCCTTCCCACACTGTAAACCCTTTTCTTCCTGCCACCTTCCAACACACACGGTAACCCCTTCTCTCCCTGCCCCCCCACACTGTAACCCCTTGTCTTCCTGCCCCCTTCCCACACTGTAAACCCTTTTTTTCCTGCCCCCTTCCCACACACACTGTAACCCCTTCTCTCCCTGCCCCCCACACTGAAACCCCTTCTCACCCTGCCATCTCCCCACACTGTAACCCATTTTCTCACTGCCCCTCTCCCCACCAGAGACGGCTCTCTAACTAGGCAGTTTAGGTGGCCACCTAAGGCCTCGCGCTGTCTGGGGCCTCGCTGCCGCCTAAACAGCCATAGGGCAGACTGACATGTCGGGTGCGAGGCCCCTCCTGTCAGTCTACCTGGGAGAGCCAGCCTTCAGTCTGCAGCTCCGCCGGATGTTAGCTGCAGACTGAAGTGTCTCGCGATCTCTAGCCAATCAGAGCGTTGCCGCGGGTTACCACAGCAACGCTCTGACTGGAGATCGCGAGACATTCACCATGTGGTCTGCAGCTCACACCCGGCAGAGCTGCAGACCGGAGAGCCCACTGGACTGGACCACCAGGGAAAAAGGTACCTCACCCTGTCACCCCTCTCTCACCCTGCCAACCCACCTGTCACCCTGCCACCCAACCTGTCACCACACCTGTCACCCCCTCACCCTGCCATCCCACATATCACCCCTCTCTCACACTGCCACCCCACCTGTCACCCCCTCACCCTGTCACCCCACCTGTCACCCTTCTCTCCCTGCCTCCCTCCTCACACTGTAAACCCTTGTCTTCCTGCCCCCCCCACTGTGAACCCTTGTCTTCCTGCCCCTCCACACTGTAACTCCTTCTTTTTCTGCCCTCTCCCCACACTGTAACCCCTTTTCACCTTGCCATCTCCCCACTGTAACCCCTTCTCTCCCTGCTCCCCTCTCCACACTGTAACCCCTTCTCTCCCTGCTCCCCTCCCACACTGCTGACCTTCTCCTGCTCCTTCCACACTGTAACCCCTTCTCTCCCTGCTCCCTCCCCACACTGTAACCCTTCTCTCTCTGCTCCCTCCCACACTGTAACCCTTCTCTTCTTCCTGCCTCCCTCCCCACACTGTAACCCAGTTCTCTTCCTGCTCCCCTCCCCACACTATAACCCTTTCTCTCTCTGTCCTTATATTTAAATCAAATATCACCTGAATTCATACTGAGATCCGCCTAGCCTTCTCACAGACCCTGACCATGCAGGCATTTTACTACTTCTGTACCAAAATTACACTACCTGGTCGCTGGTCCAGGAATCCAGGCTAGGGTTCAGAGGGCTAGTTGTGGCTAGTAGCTAGTAGTGCTGTCACTGCTGTGGCTGTGGCTGTGGCTGTGCTCAGGCAGCTCTCAGTATAGTACACACTACTGTCTCCGATCTCCGCGGCTCCTCCGACTCCGCATGCAGCTCCCTTCCCCCACTAATATATACCGCGCTGAGTCTGAGCGCCGGCGTGTGACGTCACCGGCGCTCAGCTGTGCAGCGATAGCCAACAGCCCGCACGTTACCCTGACGGCGCCAGCGGAATAGGGAAGTAGGGCGATCGGAAGCCCTCTCTCACTAAATTCTCGGGTGGAGGGGGGGGCAATTGCCCCGTTGCCCCCCCATGGATCCGCCAATGGTGTGTCAGTGTGTGTCTCTCTATGTGTGTACACTGCACACAAATGCACATCTGCATGCAAACACCAACATTCACACACATACTCCATACAAAAACATGCTTACATTCAAACACACATACATAAGTTGAATGCCTCTAAAACAGACTACCATGATGTGCCAAGTTTCTGACTCTAAAACTGCCACGATACCCAAAATTATGCCTCTAAAACTGCCATGATATGCCAAGTTCCAGCCTCTAAAACTGCCATGATATGGCAAATTATGCCTCTAAAACTGCCGTTTTATGCATCTAAAACTGATTGCCATAGTGTGCCAATTGTATGCATCTAAAGCTGATTGCCCTGGTGTTGCAATTGTATGTAAATATATGCCAAAGTGAATTTTTGCAATTCTGTTACATCGAGGTATCAGGAGGAGATAAAAAACTTGGGGCTAGGAGTTAGGAGTAAAAAAGTTTGTCCGAGCTAGACAACTAGCTCTATGAGCTTCAAGACCATAACTTGGGAAAGAAGCAAGCTCCTCCAGCTTTCATATTTCCTCAACGCTAATGTACCACTCAACATTGGTGGTTAAGTGAATTTCCATTTTGTTGGAATGAGTGATAAGGCCACCATTAGAAGGAAAAGGACAAATGAATCCTGAGTCTATGGATGTGTGAATAGAGTGTCCCAGAGCCAGCATTCTTATGATCTTAGGGCAGCAATGGAAAGTATGTGTCTCAGTCGGTTGTGGGAGTTTAAACGCAGGGAAAGTTTGTATGCTTGTATTTTCTTTTGTATTGACACCCAAACCATTTGTGCCCTGTATAGAGTTGTTTCGATAGTAAGGTTTCATTAGAATGTCCTGCTCTAGTAAGAGATCTTATCTTTTAAATGAAAGCAGCAAGGTGAATGGTTAGTGTAGGACTAGTCTAAGAGGTTAATCTTGATGTTGGGATGACAGCAATTTTGGATTAATGTTGGGACAGACAACATACAGCAATTCCATCTATTATTAGGCCGGGCTAGGTTTAGGGCTATTTTTTCTATTTCAATCATATACAGTTATATTCCAGATGAGTTTTGAGATCTTTCAGAATAAGGTAACGTGTAGATTTCACATATCATCTAAGCTTCTATTGTAGAGTACGAACAGGTACATCAATCACATAGTAACTGTACAAAGCACCCTTTTTATGCCAATCCCTCACAAGCTCAGACTTACTCATTATTGCTCCACACCTCGGTATGTACATTGTCAATGAGAGAATCACAATTTCTCAGTGTAGATCATCCTGCTATCGGCACTTGAAATGCTAATGCTCTGTTTCCATACGAAGTGGGAGGTGGGAGTCGCATCTGTAGCCGGCTGTGCTAGCTGAGGATCAAAAGAAGGACACAGACTCTCAGGTCCCCAGAGCTTGAAGCATCTAGTAGTTTCTAAACAGAATCTGTGTGGGCCAGAGAGAATTAGCAAGAACAAGGGCTTCCCTGTTCCATCAGCCACCTCACCCCCAAAGGGAACAGCAGTGTACTGCAAAATGCACATGATGCTGCAGTGGTTAATGTGCCCTTAATGAAACCCATGGGACATGTACAAGGGCATGTGAAATAGATGGAGATGATACAGAACTAATTTTTTCTTCTGTGTAAAATGTTAAATCAAATTTGTTTCTTTCCTCTTATTGATAAAAAAAAAAAAAGCACTGACTTTCTTATTATTCCAAATGGTAGAATGAGACTGATTGGGGAATTATAATTTTTCTTGGAAATTTACACAGTTGAATAAAACATTGACAATCCCCTAGAACCTCTGTTAAATTTTTTTTTTCACGTGATGCTGCATTCTCTTTAAAATATACATTAAAGCTTTAGCAAATTACAACACAGCCCAGCTCCATCTTGTCATAACCAAGGCGCTACGAATATATTGAATCACAGGAGGAAATGTAGAGGCACTGGTAGAAATGACTGTGCCTCTGAAAATGTGACTGTTTGTCATACACAATTAAATAACAATTATTAATGATGAGCAAGTGGGTACTGGTCGGACATTTCCACACAGGACACTTTAAAGGAACACTATAGCATTAGAAATACAAACATGAATTCCTAAGCTACAGCAAGGCCTCCTTTTGCAAAAACAAACAAAGATATAAGGATGCGCCTAAAGCTTACAATTATGATAAAATAAAGGACTAAATAAGTCAGATAAAATACAGAATAAAATAAGTGATAAAACAATAGTCCAATAAAATAGGCTTATCACAGTCCGTGAGGGTAGGTCCCACTTGTAAAGGAATATTCTTTAGGGTGTAGATGGGATCGTATCTTCAAATGTTGACAATTCAGCATATGTGGAGAGAAAAATAAAAACAGGACTCCAATGGCACAGTAAATCGGTGTATAAAATAAATATAAAAGTATAAAATCAGTCTTACTCACACTTTTCAGAGCTAGGATCTGATATTGCTCGCGTAAAGTGGAATGATCCCCACTTCAAGGATATATGGAGTGAATTTTGATAGTTGACAGGAATATCAATCAAATAAGATGGGAGTGAAGCAGATGTGAAGTAAAGAGTAAAATGCTGCCCTTTAGGAGAGAGCAAGAGACAGGTATGTGAGGTAGAGGTTACTCTGGGAGGCCATAAGCTTTCCTGAGAGAACGTGGGTTCAGCGTTCAATTTGACGTAATACGACCCAGAGGAAAAAATGAAATAAAATATATAGTGCTCACTGTATGTAATCCAAAATTAAAAGAAAGTAAAGTATACTACTCACGTAAAGTAGAGCAGACTCAAAACTGCTCAGTGAAGGCGCTCGGGTGGTATAATCCCCACCTATGGATTCTTTGCACTTCCTGCAGGGTGAGCCGTATATGTAAAATCAAATAAAAGAAAATGTATGTAAAATCAGGTAAAGGAGAAAGCAAATGGCAATAAAGTATTTTATGCCAATAAAATATCTTTATTATAAAATTAAGAACAAAATCTATTAATATCTAAACGCGTTTCGCATTAACAGGCTTTTTCCCATGGAATAGCCTGCCTACCCCCATCAGACTCTCCCCTAGTCTTCAATCGTTTAAGAAGTGCCTTCAGGAAAGCTTATGGCCTCCCAGAGTAACCTCTACCTCACATACCTGTCTCTTGCTCTCTCCTAAAGGGCATCATTTTACTCTTTCCTTCACATCTGCTTCACTCCCATCTTATTTGATTGATATTCCTGTCTTAATGTGTTTTACACCCCACCTCCTATAGACTGTAAGCTCATTTGAGCAGGGTCCTCTTCAATCTATTGTTCCTGTAAGTTTTCTTGTAATTGTCCTATTTATAGTTAAATCCCCCCTCTCATATTATTGTAAAGCACTTCGGAATCTGTTGGCGCTATATAACTGGCAATAATAATAATAATAAATAATAATTATTAAAAGAAAGCTTTGTGTCCTTTGACATATAATTCATAATATGTAAGGGTCACTTAAATAGAAACCCTTAAATTATGGTGCAAATTCTAGATTTTGTTTTGGAACAAAACATGGACAGGGTGCACATGGAAAGGAAAAAAAAGAATGAAGACCACTAAGTGCAGTCCAGCTGAGAGATAACTACTGTATTTTTGTATTGATTGCTTTTAATTATTGTATCATTTGTTTCTGGTCCCTGAGGAAGTTCCTTTGCATAGGAACGAAACGCGTAGGACCTCATTTTGTTTTATTTCATTTAATGTGGCTAATGTATATGGCCTTTTTTCTACAATAAATTCGCATATTCATTTTACTCTACCTATATTGGAGTCTCATTCCATATTTTGGTCCGCTTGGAGTTCCAGTGGAGAGTGGAGACGTTCAGTAGAGATGTCGCGAACCGTCCGTTTCAACATGGATGCTGTCCAGGAAGTAGGAGGGTCTGGAAGGGAGGGTCTGCTGGAGATTGGCCGGGATGTGTCAGCTGACCGGAGTTCGCCAACCGCGGCGAACCGTTCGCGGACGGTTCGCGACATCTCTAACGTTCAGCCGCCCAAGTTCACCGGGGCAGGCACCTTTTTGGCGCATTATTCATTTGGATCTTGTGAGTGCATTATTACATCAGCGCATTATAACTTGTTTTTTGCTGTACTACACTACGTATTTTCTCTGTTCCTGTTTTAGATTATGTACAGCCGAATCTCATTTCATTTTGTGTCTATGTATATGTTGTAAAAGGTCAGGAACTGGGCTACGACCTTGAGAGGCTGTTTTGACTTTATCAGATAAGTATATTTGGATACCATTGCAATATAATTTGAAGTATCATTTTTATACATATTGTCTTTTCTTTGAGAGATAACTACTGTATTTACTGTAGCATTTTTTTTTTTATAAAACAACCAATGGTAAAAACATGTAACAGATGTCTTACCACCAAATTGCTTGCTAGTTTTTATTTTATAAGGTTTCAAAATAAATATAAACACATAACATGGCCACATCCTATATGTCTTGGTGGGTTCAAACGTCCAGAGCTAATATTCCAATATAACAACTATGTATTAAGATACATATAAAGTTCAGCCACAAAATCCCCATTATTTGATGTTGCAGGAAAGGAGTAAAGAGAATTCAAACATCTCACCCCAAATAAAAAACAGTTAAACATGAACATATAAAAAGGAGGTCTCCCTAAAATGTAGCCAGTTAGACGCCTTCCTAGGCTCCCTCTTTAATCTTACCCTTCTACTCTCACCACATTCACCTCCCTTATAAGCCATGACCTCTTTTAGACAAAAGTCTACAATAAGCAAACTACTGTTCAAGCTGTAGGAATAAAACTGTTATTGCCTTCAGAATCTAGGGCATGACAACAGTTTAAAAACAACTATTTCTTAAAGAACCCTGAATTTGTTGGGAAACATTCTAAGAAAACCATGATTGAAACCAAGCAACTAAACAGTGTAAAAAAAACAATTCTGAAGATGCACCAATCCCATTTGAATTTTCTAGTTTAGCAAACGTAATCGCTCTCTTGAAAGTCAGGTTGTCAGCTTTGTGTGCTCTTTAAGGGAACATTGCAAGCACCATCTCTACTACAGCGGTCGCTGCTCCCCACCTCCACTGTTTGCGCTCTGTTGATAGAAATTTCTGCTACAAGCTTTAATAAAAGGAAACAAAGGTAAACTTAATGAGTTCTAGTGCTGAGGCCAGATTCTCCCAGCAGGTCCATCCTCTACCAGTCAATCCCTCTTACTGCAGGGGGAGGGATATCAGGGAGAACCAGCAGAGGGGAAGTCCTTGGTAGACCTGAAAGGGTGCCATGCTGCCATTGGTTGTCTGTCATCAGCTACGTGTGTTGATGTGAGATCCTAAACATGCACAGAATTGCCATCAGCCAATTTAGAGCCAATAAGGATGCCAGAGGTGGAGTTACAATAGCTAAGTGCTTTTGCTCATTTTGAGCTGCAACGCTGCACATACAGACTCCAAGTACCATGACCACTTCAAATCCCTAAAGTGGTAATGGTGCTTGGAATATCCCTTTAAACTTGGCATAGCTGCAATTTAGTGATACATTGTGTACTGTTCACAAATTAGTCAAAGCAGTTTTCAATTTCCTTTGCTCCCAGTTGATATTGAATTTTTCTCCAAGCTGCTGTCCACAGTCACATTTCCCCATGATATTCCCTCCTCCTTCTCTTACACACGTGATTATTCACATTTTGTTGGACCAATCCATTTCATGTTTTCCATTTCTTTGCCCCATTTATAGTCCAAGTCAGCTACCACAACTGTCATTCACCACTCTTTTCACAGCTTTAACCCTTTAACACTTTCCCATTTATCTCCCCTTCTTAGCTACACTATCCCTTTCTTGTACACTGCAATCCAGACCTATATCAAATATTTGCCTACCTTTCTCTGTTGGGTGTCTGTTGTCCATCATATATTGCAGACTGATGCACAGTGCATAAAAGAATGCTCCCGTATATTATGTATATTATGTATATTATTCACAAACGTGAGAATTGAAGGTGAATTCATAGCGAATTTCAAATGTAAAGACAAAATAGCCAAACTGGAAAATATTTTCTGCTTTCAGCTACTCTGGTATTAAGTTTAAATTCACTTTAAATTCACTTTGGATTCTCACTTTAGTAAATAACCACATACATGTTTCATTAATCAAACAAACCAAAAAAACATTTTAAATTTACTCAATTAATCAACTGATTATGTTCCCTCTTGCACCATATAAATGTAATATACAACAATGCAGCACCTGTACAGTCCATCAGCATGGGAAACGTATACACCTCCAAGAAAATTGGGTGACTCTGGGAACCCTTAAGGAGACAAAATCCTGTGGTCACTATGCTATTCTTATTCTCCTCGACCTTTCTGCTGCTTTTGACACTATTGATCATCAACAGCTTCTTCTCATCCTCCGTAAACTCAGTCTACAAGATATTGCTCTCTCCTAGTGCTCTTCTTACCTCTCCCAGCGATCATTTTGTGTTTCTTTCTCTGGCTTTGCCTCTTCTCCCCAATCCTCTGTTGGTGTTCCCCAAGGGTCTGTCCTTGGTCCCCTTTCGTTCTCACTCATACTCCTACCTCTGATGCTCGCCTTAAAGACTTCTCGAGGGCTGCACCATTCCTATGGAACGCCCTTCCCCTCTCTGTTAGACCTTTACCCAATCTCCAATCCTTCAAACAATCTTTGAACACTTACTTCTTTAGGAAAGCATATCAATTAACCCGAACACCCTCCCTTCCCGCACCCTGGTTCCTCTCCTGAAACTGTCATCAAAACAAAATACTAATCCTTCAGTGAATACTATTCTAGCAACCTACTTTTCTACCCTAACCTTCCCTTTTGTGTCACTATATCGCACTCCCTCTAGTATGCAAGTTCATTGAGGAAGGCCCTCAATCCCTCTGTTCCTGTGCGTCCTACTTGTCTGGTTACAAATACATGCCTGTTTGTCCACCTATTGTACAGCGTTACGGAACTTGCTGGTGCTTTATAAATAATAATAATAATAATCATAACTACTACAGCTTAACCCCTTAAGACCGCAGCCAAATGAACAAGTTGTGATCCAAAAAAAATGTAAACAAACCACAGAATTTTATTATATGTCTGTTCAACAATAATGTACCTCTTTCATATTAAATGCACCCACACTTATTATATATAATTTTATTCAGGGGAAACAGGGCTTTCATTTAACATCAAATATTTAGGTATGGAACATAATTTAATATAAATAAAATATTAAAAAATGAGAGAAAATAGGATTTTTTAAAATTTTCTTAGTTCTACATGACATTTTAACTGTGAATGTCATAATACTGTATGCTTTTACTGCAATAAAATACACATATTTGTATTCAGCGATGTCTCACGTGTAAAACAGTACCCCTTATGTACAGGTTTTATGGTGTTTTGGGAAGTTACATGGTCAAATATAGCATGTTACACTTTTCAGTTTTTTCACATTGAAATTCGCCATATTGGGAGTGTATGGTAGCCCAGGAATGAGAATTACCCCCATGATAGCATACCATTTGCAATAGTAGACAACCCAAGATATTGCAAATGGGGTATGTCCAGTCTTTTTTAGTAGCCACTTGGTCATAAACACTAGCCAAAGTTAATGTTAATATTTGTGTGTGTGAAAAATGCAAAAAAATAATTTGAACGCCAAATTTGGCCAGTGTTTGTGACTAAGTGGCTACTAAAAAAGACTGAACATACCCCATTTGCAATACCTTGGGTTGTCTACTTTTGCAAATGGTTTGCCATCATGGGGGTAATTCTAAAACAGACAGCATCCATGACACACATATACTGCATTGACTACATACACAATGCACACAATACAAACACTGTATCCACTACACAAACAGACATTGCATTCATTACACACACTGCATAACATAATAGATGTTGTCATACTTTTGGTGCAGGCAGAGAGAGGGGGGCCGGATTTCATCCTTGGACCCAGGAAGCACAAAGTCTTGGGCAGGCCCTGGAACCGGGTCAGGGCCTGTGCGGTGCTGGAATAAAGAAAGTTTTAATTTATTTAAGGGAGGCGGGGGCAGCCACCTAAATAGTATTTTTTAATACTATAGGGTCAGGAATAGACGTTTGTACTCCTGACCCTATAGTGTTCCCTTAATGTAGGACATCCACCGTTTTAAATAAAACATTTAACATGACTTGATTGCTCGTCACATAGCTCTCTTTGGTCTATTTACTGAGTGTGGAACTACTGAAACCTAGGAATGCATACTGGAACAGTCCCTGTGACAACTGTATTACTGCATTAGAATGTCATTTACCTTGGTTTCTTTGCAAGACTGAAAGTTGGTATGGTTCTTCTGTTATGTAATATAATAGAACCTGACAGTTTGATATATTAATGCAATGACACAAATCTGTAGAATGTTCAGCTGTATTAATTATTAAAAAAAAACTGCAACAATGTTCTAACCTCTTTGCAGCAGTGCAACAGTGCCATCTGCTGGTAGAAAGTGAATTCATAAGTTACACTAAACTATCATAATTGGCAGCTAACTCATTTAAAGCGTTAATACCGGTCATGGAAACCAAAAGAGGTGCTTCCATAATATAGAAACAGTAGAGTGACTTGTTGTGTTAGTATACCTGTTCATAAATCTCCCTACAGATATTTAATACTGTTAAAACAAGCCTCAAGCATGAGGTATGATTTATTCCTGATAAAAAGACTAAAGGGACCTAACTGTGTAATGTAATGTTACAGTTAGAAAGTGGTGAGAAAAATAAGAATATCATAACATTTATTTTGTTATGTGTCCATAAAAAAAAAAAATACTACAGGATAAATACAGTATTTAATGCCCTCCATGTATGTATCAGTAAAAAGTTAAAAACAACAAAAAATAAATGTGTATATATATATATATCATCACCAACATATATAGTTACATCATACCCCACCAACATCGGCTTTATGCAAGTCGGGGCCAAAGGGGCATCCCAGTGACGTAATTCAGGCCCAAGGGACAGTCCCTATTTTGGCCCAAATCCCCTTGTCCCTCTGTATTTATTTTTTGACATTCTTTTATTTTGTTGTGCATTAACAGATAGACACGCGTAGGACAAAGCTACAATTAGAAAGCATGTAAGCGTGAAAAGTTGCACATGTAGCATAGAACATGTCAGAGTATAGTGCACATTTTATATAAGTAAAACAATAGAACAGGATAGGTATGAATGGTTAAACTGCAGTATGAGTGTTATAAGTGATGGTTGCGTGCTGAAAAATAGGAAACTGGGGCTACAGAGGCAATGCTTAAACTCAAGTGACTCAGCCTACTCCCAACGTATGGTGGCTGCTGCCCCTACAATATTTGTGGCTCAAGTACTTAGCACACCCCAGAGAACCTGGCTCATAAATGTGTCCCTCTTTTTAATCCTAATATCCCTCTTTTATAGGAGCTCGGTATTCTTGATGTGTTTGAACAGCCTATTAGTGAATGACACCAGTCTGCTTCCAGTTATTTAGAACGGGAAATTAATTTGTGAATTCATTATGTGCTAAGAAGTACTGTATGAATTATTTTCATGGAGAATATTTCTAACCTGTGACCCTGCATTGTTCTCATTACATGTGCTCATGTCACCTGGGAGGTGCAGCAGTCTGAACAATGCTTAATTTGCATGGCTCTTACTCAGCTCATTCAGGGAGTTACTGTGGCATTCCAAAATGCCATGGGTGACATCTTCCATGAACTAATTAATCCATGTCTTATTGTTTGTGTGAATGGCACACTAGTGTTTTTAAACACCATTCTTAAACGCAGGGAACAAGTAATGCAGGTGCAACTCAGGGCAAGTCCCTTGTACTAAACCCGATGAATACCAGTGTGGGGAGGATCAAATGTGTTGATGGAAATAGAATTTCATTCTCTCTTTCCTAAATGGATACTGACAAGGTTTTTACAAAATCAGAACTGACCTCCCTATCACTACTTTACTGATCATAAAATGTACTGCTGCTATATTGATAGTATCTATCTATCCATCTATCTATCTATCGTTCTATCTATCCATCTGTTCATCTATCCGTCTGTCTATCTATCTTTATATCTATTCATCCATCCGTCCGTCTGTCTGTCTATCTATCTCTCCCCAATCACTATACGGTAATTATGCCCCTGTCCCCTCCTCCCATTGTTGTAAACCCATTTACATGACTGCTTGGTTTAGATAACATTTCTTACTTATGTTAATAATAGTTGCAGCTGTAACAGAGCCTGCGGAGCTGCAACTGTGAATTCCAGGCTGTATGTGTTACGGTTTTCCAGTTGTGCATGCGCAGCGCTCAGCTTTTCCTCCTCTGTATCCTCTGCCAATTGCTACACAACACCTCGTTCCCTAAGTAATTAAATGTGCTATTTCTATACTGACAGCTGCCACTTTATGGCTGCTATCAGCTTCATAGAAAAATACTGTTAGGCATCAATCTATATGTCTCAATTCGGATGTTGAAATGTCTTCCTTGGACACCAAAACCAAAGAACATTTGTTCACATTTATCCCAGAGTTCCCAGCTTGACATGCAAATGAGCCCAGACAGTCATTCTGTTTCAGACTTTAGACATTCTTAACAATGGACGCTATATGAACACAGCTGATACCTTTCCAGTAAGGGTATTTTAATACTAGTGCAACTAAACTGAATAAAATTATAAACACAACACTTCCATTTTTGCCCCCATTTTTCATGAGCTGAACTCAAAGATCTAAGACTTTTTCTATGTACACAAAAGGCCTATTTCTCTCAAATATTGTTCACAAATCTGTCTAAATCTGTGTTAGTGAGAACTTCTTCTTTGCTGATATAATCCATCCACCTCATAGGTGTGGCATATCAAGATGCTGATTAGACAGCATGATTATTGCACAGGTGTGCCATAGGCTGGCCACAATAAAAGGCTACTCTAAAATGTGCAGATTTGGAGATTTAGACAGATTTGTGAACAATAGTTGAGAGAAATAGGCCTTTTGTGTATATAGAAAAAGTCTTAGATCTTTGAGTTCAGCTCATGAAAATGGGGGCAAAAACAAAAGTGTTGCGTTTATAATTTTGTTCAGTGTACATCTAATAACACCAGACACAATCTGATCATTTATGGCATCTATTTAGCTGCTTGTCAGGAAACAGTTAAAGTATCCATTATAAATCTGGTAGTTCTAACATATTCAGAATTTCACTTCGATAGTGATTAATTATTGATATGATGTCAGTGTCTCCAAAGATTCTTCTCCAAATTGTTGTAAATTAGTGCTTAAACATGAACTGAATAAGAAAAGAAGTTATCTTTTATTAATACCTAATACCTAATTTATATTAAATAAGGTATATTCAAACATTTATTCTAGAAAATAAATTGCTATTACTTATATAAATGGTTCTTGCTGAAACTGCTTGTGGTTAAAACGAATCCATTGAACAGTGGTTCTAAAGCCATGGGTCGAGACCTAATAATGGTTCCCCATGTTATTTCTGTGGATTTTCATTATTTGTAAAATGCACATCATATTCATCAGGCCACAGTGACCACCTACAGTAAATGGTTTATTGTAGTAGTCCTGCTTAAACAAAGTGTTTTGATTAATCAATTTTATTAAATATTTAGCCTACATTTGAATAAGCCAGGTCATTTTACAATTAGAAAATTGGCCACCAAGGAAATTCTTTCTACGTAATTTACAACACTTTCCAAAAAGCAGCGGATGGCTTTTCCTAGCACTATAATACCCCTTGCTCAAGCCCCCACAGTGCAGAACCCTTTTGTAACTTACCTGCAATCAGCGCTGATGTCCCTTGGTCCTGTGTCAGGCTGCGCATCTGCACCTCCTACCCCGAAGTGAGCCGATGTTGAGGACCTAATGCGCATGATCGATGAGTACTGTGCTTACATTAGAACAACCCCATATGAAATCCCATGAATCAATGTTTTTTTTAGGGGATTTTAGTGTTTGCTGGATGTCCTCATGCAGAGTGTGAGGATGTCCAGAATCAGTTTGGCAACCAAAAGTCGCCTAGAAACCTGGAAGCTCCTCTACTTACTGTCTGGTAGACAGCCACTAGAGGTGGAGTTAACCCTGCAAGGTAATTATTGCAGTTTATCAATAACTGATAAAATTACAATTGCAGGGTTAAACTGACAGGGAAATTGAACCCAGACCTCTTCAATGAGCTGAAGTGGTCTGGGTACCTATAATGTCCATTTAGTGGAATCCAAATTTGGACACAACTGATACTGCTAATGTGGCAGTGAGTGTTTTGTAGTACCACTAAGGCCAGCAAGGACCAAGCAACAGGCATCTGACAGACTCTCATCTGTGTTAGACCACTCAAATATATTTGACGCAGAACCGGGCTGGTGGTCTCAACTTAAAAGTACAATTAAAACTGCACGGACCACTAGTGGTTATATTGCTTAGAGTAAGAACCTGTGCCATAAAGTATTTTGCTAGCAAAATATAGCAGCTGAAAGAACCAATTTTTCCCGTCAAGAATGGAGGCTGCAATACTAAAACGGAACCCTTTGGTGGGCGTATAGTTAACGTCATTATGAAGTGCAGCGTTACTATGTTAACACTTCATACTGGAATACATCTAGCCACAAGGAAGATTAGTGGCTACCAGTCCAAAGTTTTGCTGTCGGTGTGACGAATGCGTTCAAGCCTGGATACAGAAAATTGTTGATGCTGATTACATCAGAAAGCAATCAATTAATTACACTTTAACTATGTAAACTTGGATTATGGAGGACCTTGGCACACTTCTGATGAAGCCCCGAGAGGAGAAATGCATAAAAGTGTGGCCCCTATCACAACGGGGACTATTACTGCCTTCACTTTCCACATCCTTTCTAGCTCTTCTTTCAGTCCTTGGTATTTGTCTATTTATCTTTGTAACCGCAGCTGGTTCCCTTATTTACCACTATAACGTCTTAAAGTGCAGAACTTAGCAGGGCTAACCATACAGACATCTTTAGCCATAATATTACATAGCTAGTAAGAAATCCTCTATTTAAAATATATAAATAATTGAGAATACAATTTAAAATAAGGATTGTCTTGGAAGAAATAAAGTTTTGTCTTTTAGCTATTTTATTAAATAAAAATATAAATATAGACATATAAAATCCATTACAATAATCTATAGCAGAGTTTATAAGATTAAACTATATGCTTGCAATAACTAAATAGATTAATATACCCTCCGGAACATGTCATCATGTCAGCCTCTCTGTCATTATAAGATGGAGCGTCTGTCTCCAAGTCTCTCCTCTGTCCCTTAACATTTAAAAGGTACACATATTTATACCTTAGGTGTCTTCATTTTAGGGTTACCGTAAATCATATATGAAAAAGTAACACTTCTTTTACTTTATTTATTTTAGGACTTCCCTTAACTTGGCAAAAATACAAGGCCATAAGTAAAATGTAAGGGTGCACATGTCATGGAAAATTCCCTGACTTAGGACAAGATGGCATCTTAAAGTCTGAACATCTTTATCTTTTCGGGTTACCGCTGTAAATTATGTACTGAAAGAGTCGTAGCACAGCCTTGAAGCTTGTTTATGCACTATTGTTATTGTCTTTCGTCTGGGACAAAATGGCGTAAACATATGATGCACTGAAAGTAGGTAACAGGTTATTGCTTAGAGAAACATATATGAAAAACAATATGTTCCATTTCTAACACCTTGTCAGTTTGCAATATCTCTTAAAGACAAAGTACACAGTTTGAGAAATACAATATTTGCATTTGCCCATAACATCATGCAGGGCAGGCCTAAGGCCTTTTGGCGCCCTGTGCGAAAACGTCTCACAGCGCCCCTCCCTGGTCACACCCTTTTCCTGGCCCTGTTAAAGGGTAAGGGAATTGCAATATCTAGGCCAACATATCTGATATGAAAATCGTTAAGTTGGAGATGTTTTCCAGTTTAGCTGATTTGCCATAGGTTACTCCTTACTATGCCAATAAAGTAGATTCAATGTTTGTGTAGTGCTCCTCATCCACTTGTGCATTTTTTCCTGACCCTCCTTGTGTGTGTCTCCTAATCCCCACTTTTCACCTTGTGTATCTCTTATTTCCTTTTACCGTCTTGTCTCTTAGCACACTGTTACTTCTTGTGTGTCTCTTAATCCCACTTAAATCTTGTATGTCTTAACCCTATCCACTCCCCCCCCATTTAACTACACATGCACATGCATAAATGCCTATACCTGCAATCACATACATATATGGACATAACCACAGTCACATGCAAAGACAAACAAGAACAGTTACATATGTAGACACAAAACACACACAGTCATACTGTACACATCAATATCAAATAAACAGGACTGCACTCCAATCACAGAAACACCTGTAAACCTGTAAGGAACATTTCTTTTGAATGATATATAAAGCAAAAAGAATGCCATGCTCCAAACTATGGAGGCCACCACATCTCCAGACATCTGTAGCACACAAAACAAGTCCAGGCACTCAGTGTTCTAAATCTTGATATCCTTTCTTTTTTTTTTTAATTCTTTTTTTTTGCTCAATAGACATATCAAGTTATTAACGACTTTGGGCTTATGCAAAAGCCAGTGTAATAATAATATCATACAGAATACAGCTTAACAATTACAGTATATGCCCATTCATAATTGAGCCATCGGCACTTGCCGTCTACTGAGGATTTTTATTTTTATGCAACTATAAACAATATATTCACACAACAAATAGATAAGTCAATTAAAGTACATTTCCTTTGGTCACACTGAATGAACTCCAGCCTTGCCACACTGTTGGCATCTGCCGGTTATGTGGATATCGTGTATTCTATGAGCTCCTTTTCAATACTAGGCATGAGATCCCAACTGGGCTTATGTACAAGCTAAATAATTGCCATGCCAGATAGGAACTATCACGTACCACTCCTCTCTATTAAATGCCAACCCTATTCTCATTTTACGATAGGCGTCTGCCAACTATGGAGAGGATATATGCGGATCATGATATGAGTAGATACCAATGACAGCAATTAATCAGATGTATTAATCAGTGTCGTGTCATTGTTTCATTTTCCTCCCATCATATGACCCAGCCTGGAAAAAATTAAAAACGAAAGCAAGGAAAAAAATAAAAGAGGAAGAAAAGGAGATAGATAGGAAATAGTATGTAGTAAATTAGAGGAAGGTTTAGAAGAGGGAAAAAAGGAAGGAGGGGGTGGGGCAAACGAGAGAGGGGTCAAAAAAGCAGTAGCCCCGCCGGCACAGAAGACCCTGCTAGCAGTGATGAATTCCGGTACGAGTCGTACTTGTGCCAGGGAAGGCACTCACTCTCCTCTCGAGCCAACTACACTATTGTCCCAAGGTTCCCAAATTTTATAAAACGTTGATACATTACCCCTCACCCTTGCCGTTAGGTCGTCCATCACTCTACATTCTTTAATTCTAGATATAACCCCCGCGAAATCCGGGCCCTCTAAAGTAAGCCATGCCGATGCTATTGCTCTGCGCGCACACAGTGTGATTTTGTGTACTAACTTCTGCTCCCTTTTGGTCCATCCATCGACTGATCTATTCAATAGATAAATCCACGGGTCCATTTTCAGGGGTCTATCAAACGTCTGTTTCAATAGGTCTTCAACAGACTTCCAAAAGCCTAGTAGCCTTGGACACCCCCACCACATATGAATATAAGTCCCTCGTGCTCCACATCCTCGCCAACAATCATCTGTCTCCCGTTTGTGCATTCTATGAAGTTTGACTGGGGTAGTATACCATCTGAACATAGTTTTCCAAGCCTGCTCCTGAAGGGTGACACAAATGGAGACCTTATCGCTTGCGTCCCATATCTCCTGCCACTCGACCCCTTCCAAAGTCTCCCCGAGATCATTCTCCCATTGATCAATGTAAGTTAACTTACCCCATTCTATATTTTCTCCGCTGAGGTGTGCGTATAAGAGAGTAATCAACCCCTGGGGGGTTACCCCCTCCGAACAAATCCTCT